CAGCGAGCTTGACTTGCGGGAGCTGCGCGAGGCGGGCTGCCACGGCGTCATCTTCGACAAGGACAACACGCTGACTGCGCCCTACTCCGACGAGGTGCACCCGCGCCTGGCGGGCTCGCTGCGGAGGTGCGTCGAGACCTTCGGCGCCGAGCGCGTGGCGGTGCTGAGCAACTCTGCTGGGACGCCAGACGACCCCGGCGGTGTCGCTGCGGACGCGCTGGAGGCGGCGCTTGGCGTGCACGTGCTGCGACGGCGGCACAAGAAGCCGCGCGGGATCGAGAGCGTGCAGCGTCACTTCCAGTGTGACGGCACGGCGCTGCTCATGGTGGGCGACCGCTACCTGACCGACGTCGTCTTTGGAAACATGCACGGCATGCTGACGGTGCACACGCAGCAGCTCACGACGGAAGGCGACAACCGCGTCGCCCAGGCAATGCGCCGGGCCGAAGACTGGCTCGTGGCGCGATACGTGCGTCGCGGAGTGCGCGCTCCACCGCACCCGCTCGCCCTGAACTCGTGGGGGCCAGGCGGGGCGCGCGGACGCAGCTGACGAGGAATGGTACCCGGGGAGGAGGAATGGCAGCCGGGTACTCTCATTTCCTTTTTAGCCCCCGCTACCCAGTGCGACGTAGCGGGGCTACGACTACGTTTACGGAAACATATTCCTAGGTCCCGCGAGCTGTGAACACCTCACCCTCTCACAGACCAGCGCATAGCCGCGCCTTACGTCTCACGAGGTATTTTCTTCTCATAAGAGGGCTCCCGCGGCGATCAACACCGCAACTCCTTTTCTAAATTTCAGGTGCAGGTGGTAGAGCGTGCCGTCGTCCGACTCCCAGCAGCTGATGACGCGCGAGATGTCGGTGTCGCGGAATTCGTGCGTACCGTCGCCGTTGGGACGGTCGTTGCTCGCGCCGTTGGGAAACGCAAGGCGCACCTTTTTGTTTTGAAGACCTCGATACTTAGCGCACTGCTCGGGCGAGAGCTCAAACACGTGCCGCGTCTCGTCTTCGCCGCCGGCTACGCGCACAGACACAGTGCGCGGCAGCGCCGACACGTCAACCCGCGTGTACGTCAGCGACGGGTCCCGCACGCCGCACGAGGCGCATGCGTGCAGCGGCAGCGCGTGCGCCATGCGCTCGTCGCTCCACTCGCCCAGCAGCCGCCGCTTCGTCTCGTCGGAGACGTGCACGCAGCGCTGCAGCAGCGCCGCCGTCTCGTCCTCGGGCCGCTCCAGGTCCATGACGACGTTCGTCGAGGCGTGGAAGCGCGTCTCCAGGTCGATGGCCGCCTGCTCGGCCGCGGCGAGCTTGCCCTGGTCGACGCACATGCCGCACACCGCGTGCGCCGGGCAGCCGCACTGGCCGCGTTGTGGGCGCACGGTCTTGGCGACCGCCGGCGCTGCGCGCCGGTCGTGCTGCTCACGCTGCCGGCGGCGCTGGTCGCGCGCCTGCCGATCGCGCGTGTTCGCGGCGGCTGCATCTCTTGCTCGTTCGCT